TCCGAGTCACTCTACCAGCATCTCTTCCTTGCAGGCTCACTTCTTGTTCATTTTTACGCCAACCTTTCTTTTACCCCTCCTGTTCAGTCAATCACCAATTCCTAATAGTGCAGTGTAATGCTAAAATAGTGTAATATATAAAATAGTGCCAAAGGAACACTTAAGCTTTATAGAGCTCTATTTTATGGGTCTGGATGGAATAATCCCCTTCTAAAGATATATTTATAGATGTCAGCAATGCTTGGTACTTGAGTGGGTGATGGTCATCATATATTAAAAAAAAAAAATTAAATATTCAATGGTATAGTATGTAAAGTGACAGTGACTTTAAAAGGATAAAAACTACTTGCATAACCTAGAGCAAGCACCTGCTCTAGTTTGTAGAACTTTAGGTGGAACAATCCCCATACATTATTACACTGCTCAAAAAAATAAAAGGAACACTTAAACAACACAATGTAACTCCAAGTCAGTCACACTTCTGTGAAATCAAACTGTCCACTTAAGAAGCAGCACTGAGTGACAATCAATTTCATATGCTGTTGTGCAAATGGGATAGACAACAGGTGGAAATTATAGGCAATTAGCAAGACACCCCCAATAAAGGAGTGGTTCTGCAGGTGGTGACCACAGACCACTTCTCAGTTCCTATGCTTCCTGGCTGATGTTTTGGTCACTTTTGAATGCTGGTGGTACTTTCACTCTAGTGGTTTAGTTAGTGCAGTGTTATGGACAGAAGAATTAAAATAAAATGTCTATTTACTAATGTCTATTTATTCTGTGTTCACTATGTTAAAACTGGCTGCTAGAGTAAATATTCCCTTCCCCCCCCCCACACAATGTGTTCAGTCACTATTTTCTCTTCAAATTCCTCCCATCCTGCTAGCCTCCCCCCTTCCCATCTAGCAAGCCTCATGTAACAAATTTCTGTGTTAAAACAGCTTCCTTTATTAAACTCCTCCCCCACTTCCTTTGTGCAAAGTAACAGCTATGTGCCACATGTAACAAAATAGAGAATCACTGTTAAAGTAACTACTACTCACTTCCCCCCCCTCCCATCGTGTAACCAAGATGGAGCCGAAATATGGGTGGGAGAAGTCTGTAATGACGACACTACATCCTGTAGGGGGGATTTTACACAAGACCCCTTAGACTGTTAACCAATTGATGAATGTATACTGTATGTTAACTGTGACTCTGTACATGACGTATTTCTGCTTTAAAAGGGAATTGCACCCCCTGGAATAAAGGCCACTCTGGAGTTCTTCATAAACCTGCAATGTGTCCGGTGTGATTTACTTCCAGAAGACATGCGCACAATCAATTTAGAAAGGAGTAGATCGACAAATAATCAAAGTTTTCTTTGGTATCTAAATCAGCAGCTCATCCAGGATGGAACATCAATGCGAAGTGTGGCAAGAAGGTTTGCTGTGTCTGTCAGCGTAGTGTCCAGAGCATGGAGGCGCTACCAGGAGACAGGCCAGTACATCAGGAGACGTGGAGGAGGCCGTAGGAGGGCAACAACCCAGCAGCAGGACCGCTACCTCTGCCTTTGTGCAAGGAGGAACAGGAGGAGCAGTGCCCAAGCCCTGCAAAATGACCTACAGCAGGCCACAAATGTGCATGTGTCTGCTCAAACGGTCAGAAACAGACTCCATGAGGATGGTATGAGGGCCCGATGTCCACAGGTTGGGGTTGTGCTTACAGCCAAACACCGTGCAGGACGTTTGGCATTTGCCAGAGAACACCAAGATTGGCAAATTCGCCACTGGCGCCATGTGCTCTTCACAGATGAAAGCAGGTTCACACTGAGCACGTGACAGAGTCTGGCGATGCCATGGAGAACGTTCTGCTGCCTGCAACATCCTCCAGCATGTCCGGTTTGGCAGTGGGTCAGTAATGGTGTGGGGTGGTATTTCTTTGTGGGGCCGCACAGCCCTCCATGTGCTTGCCAAATGTAGCCTGACTGCCATTAGATAGCGAGATGAGAGCCTCAGACCCCTTGTGAGACCATATGCTGTTGCAGTTGGCCCTGGGTTCCTCCTAATGCAAGACAATGCTAGACCTCACGTGGCTAGAGTGTGTCAGCAGTTCCTTCAAGACGAAAGCATTGATGCTATGGACTGGCCCGCCCGTTCTCCAGACCTGAATCCAATTGAGCACATCTGGGACATCATGTCTCACTCCATCTACCAACGTCGGGGTGTACCAGACTGTCCAGGAGTTGTCAGATGCTTTAGTCCAGGTCTGGGAGGAGATCCCCAGGAGACCATCCGCCAACTAATCAGGAGCATGTATAGGCGTTGTAGGGAGGTCATACAGGCACGTGGAGGCCACACACACTACTGAGCCTCATTTTGACTTGTTTTAAGGACATTACATCAAAGTTGGATCAGCCTGTAGTGTGTTTTTCCACTTTAATTTTGAGTGTGACTCCAAATCCAGACCTCCATGGGTTGAAAAATTTGATTTCCATTTTTTTATATTTATAAGATTTTGTTGTCGGCACATGTAAAAAAACAAAGTATTTCAGAATAGTATTTAATTCAGATCTAGGATGTTATTTTTGGGTTCCCTTTTATTTCAATGAGACAGCCACTAGAGGATTAGGGGGAAGGCTTAACCCATTAATAAACATAGCAGTTTCTCTGAAACTATGTTTATAAAAAAATGGGTTAACCCTAGAAGGACCTGGCACCCAGACCATTTCATTAAGCTGAAGTGGTCTGGGTGCCTAGAGTGGTCCTTTAAGAGTCAAAATACTCCAAGTTAAATATCTTAGGTTGTCTTCTTTAAAAAAAATATATACATGTGAAGGGTTATTCAGGGATTCCTGACAGATATCAGTGTTTCAATGTAACTTGTGTTAATTTGGGAGGGGGAGGAGTGGGTGAGGGGGGAGTTTGGAAATAGCAAAGTGCTACTTGTACTTATAACCCTATAACTTAAAGGTGTTAACATTGGGTATTTCTAAGCTCAGGACAAAATTTAGAAACAATTTTATATATATATATATATATATATATATATATATAACAAACACCGCAGAAATGTAAAACGAGCCCTGGTCCTTAACAGTATGAAAATTGAAAAACGCTCTGGTCACTAAAGGGTTAATATAGTTCTGTGTTTGTAAATCTCCTAGGGTGTTTTAATATTATTACTGGCATTTGTTACGCACGAACATATTCCACTGCACTGTACAATTGGGGGTAAAAGACAGATCAATACAAAAGGTAAATATGGCCTTGGCAAAGAGCGGAGATCTAGCCATTGAAGCTCTTTTATACAAAGTTATTAGAGCCTGTGCACTTACAATCTAATACTAGTCTGTTTTTTGTTTGTTTTTTGACAGGTACACACCTTGGAGACTACTTACCAGAAGGGGAAACTCTGCTTCAGTCAGATGAACTTTCCAGCTTAAGATCCAATGCGTACTTTGAATATGTTCTAAAGGCAAACTATGAATACTATGTAAAAGAACATCCTTAATTCTGTCATGTGTTGGACCCATTTGTTTTTCACTATTGTTTAATAAATTCAATTCTTTATATATGTTGATAACCATGGTGTAGTAGTACAGCTATACAAACACTTTTCATTTTTAGATACTAGTAACCTACTTTTTGATGCTTACATTGTGAGTTTCCCCTTAATTGATTAAAAGCGAAGATTTACCCACTATTTTAACTCTTATAGACCCTGGTGTACTTTTATTAGAGGATTTATACTTCACACATTAATCATAACCGGTTATAAAAAAAAATGTAATTAAAAAAAAATGTAACATGCATAACAATCAGTGAGTATTTCGTATAAATTATGGCAACAATAACCACAACAGATATTTGTTTTAAAACACACTTGTCTTATAGGAACTATGCTCACCTAAACTTTATCTTAATGAAGCAGTTTTAGTGTATAGATCATGCTTCTCAGGATTCACTGCCATTTAGTAGTTAAATCACTTTCTGTTTATGCAGCCTTTGTCACACCTCCCCTGACTGATTGACACAGCGTGCATGAAAAAAAAAACTGGTATAAGTACCTTAAACAATTGTATATTTATCTGTAAATTGAACTTTAATCACATATATGATGCTCTTGCAGGGTCTAGCAAGCTATTAACATAGCAATGGATAAGAAAATCTAAATTATACAGAACTTGCAATAAAGGAAGTGTTTAGGAAGGCTGTGCAAGTCACATGCAGGGAGGTGTGACTAGGGTTCATAAATAGTTATTAACTCCTAAATGAAAGAGAATTGAGCAGTGAAACTGCAGGGACATGATCTATACACCAAAACTGCTTCATTAAGCTAAAGTTGTTTTGGTGACTAGTGTGTCCCTTTAAGGTTAATGTTAGTCCATATAGAAATAATCCACCAGTAGGAGTCAATATACTTAGCAAGTATTAGTACAGATCTCAATGCTCATGAATAATCAAATAGGCTTTTAGCAATAGTATCAGGCAACATAAAGTTAAAATTAATTTCCAAAGGAGTTACATGCATAAATTACAGATAATTCCTCTAGAATTTAATTGGCAATTATTTTAACTATACTATATAACAATAACTATTACAGCAATGTTACAGGAATCTTTTAGATCTCAGCTTTAGAAAGCCATCACACACAGAATGTTACACAGCACAACTCAGGGTCATAAAACTAATGCTGACAGGATCCGTACACAGATAATTAACTCACTGCTGGCTACAATTTTCACAAAGTAAACACAAGTATTGCAAACTAAATATACAATGTTTTATTTCTCAAAACTATTCAACTTAACTATTCTTTGCCATCTAATAACCATAAGAAAGTCCTAAGCCTAGTATTACTTCAGTTAGTTATAACTTTAAATATTAGATATGTCAATATCTCTGGATAATAGCTTGATATGCTTAACTTGGCAAATTACCAGCGACTAGTGATGTCCTGAACGGTTCGCCGCGGACGGCGAACATATGCGGTAAACTTTGACCCTGTACCTCACAGTCAGCAGACACATTCCAGCCAGTCAGCAGCAGACCCTCCCTCCCAGACCCTCCCACCTCCTGGACAGCTCACTAAGAATGCAGCTTCACAATGAATGTAAAATGGATGCTGTCCAGGAGGTAGGAGGGTCTGGGAGGGAGGGTCTGCTGCTGATTGGCTGGAATGTGTCTGCTGACTGTGAGGTACAGGGTCAAAGTTTACCACATATGTTCGCCATCTGCAGCGAACCGTTCGGGACATCACGACCAGCGACTCAATATAATCACATTTTTTGCTGCAGTATAAAAATTTGAGTCCTATGATTCCTCAGCTAAATATGATTTCCAAAGTTTTGAAATCTGATCAGCATTATCCAGGTATTTTTCTGCTTTTAGTAAAAGTTAAATTAAACCAGCATATTTACCAATTTGTAGAATATTCTTTTGGTATTCTGGAGATGTAGTCCAATGGATGGTGAATGCAAGTAAGAGTGTTTTTAAAGATAGAGAAATTAGTATGAGGAGAGAGAGTTATAGCAGTTCTGTAAAATTTCAGAAACGTCCAGAGTTGATCTGCCTAACAAGGAAATACAAAGTCACAAGAATCCCAGATTGTAAAAGCAGTGTGTTAGAGTACGTATTCCCAAGAGCATGATCGAGAAGTTATAATTTAAGAGTGTTTCTTTAACCCCCTTCCCGACCTTTGCCGTACCTGGTAAGTCCAACAAAAAACGGTCCTTGAGGACCGCGGACGTACTTGAAAGCACCGCAGTGAATTAGAGCGCTCGAAGAGGCATCCTGCAATACCCCCCTCGCTGCCGGGCGATCGCTCCCTGGAGTGATCACTTCCGGGTTGCCCCTGGTGAGGCAGAGCATCAGAAGCCATTGGGAAGGCTTCCAAAGCTCTGCCTGTGACGAGTGCCTTGGGGGATCGGGGCACTCAGTGAAGAAAAAAATTTAAATAATATTTTTTTTAATTAACCCCTTTCCTCCCTCTCCCTCCATATGTACTTACCCGATCCCCGCCATTCCCCTGCCAGCAATTTGTCTTCTTCTATGGGGGACAGTCAGCCAATTGGGACTAGAAGAGCAGTCACGTAGCCGCAATAGGGGTCTATAGTGCTGCCAGCAGGGGGACTGCCTGAACTGACGGGCAGCCCCCCTGCTGGTGGAAAAAAAGATTTAAAAAAATAAGTTCCAAAAATAAATCTGTATCTATGAAGATATAAACGTCATACTAAGTGTATTTTTGTTAATATATACATATATTAATAAAAAAATACACTTAGAGTAAAATTACACACATATATATAATGTGTATAACTATATATTGTGTGTATATATTATAAAATAATTAAAAATAAATAACATTTTAAAAATATTTTTTAAATATGTAATTTTATTCTAATTGTAATTTGATATGAATATATATATCAAAATACACTTAAATTATACATAAAAATATGAAATATACATATGTCCATATGCATAATTACATAAATAATTTCAAAAATATATACGTAGACTTAAAATATCTATGTATATATATTTAAATTCTAAGTTCATATTTATGTAATATTTTTACATCATGAAGTAATTTTATTGATTGTAATTTGGGGGACCTGTCTGACAAACCAGTCCCAAAGTCCAGATATTTTAATTTGCTAGCACTTTATTTAACACAGTAACTTTCCAAGACACCCTCAAACATGTACATTGGGGTACTCTTTTACTCAGACTTCGCTGAACACAAATTAGTGTTTCAAATAGTTAAACCAATCACAGCGATGATATTGTCATTGAAAGTTAATTTATTGTGCATTTTTCACACACAAACCGTCCTTTCACTGATATTGTTGTAATACATTTTACTGTTTTGAAACACTAATATTTGTGTTCCGCAAAGTCTGCCGAGTATAACAGTACCCCACATGTGCAGGGTTTTTTTGTGTTTGAGAATTACATGGTCAAATATAAGGCTGTTTGTGACGAGACCAATCTCGCCACTGTGCATTGGAGGAGCCTGGTTGCCCACCTGCTGCCTTTAGACTATGGCCCCATGTTGAAACACTTGATTTTCCCCTGCGGAGACACGAAAGCCTGGTCATTCGGTGCTGGCCCTGTTTGAGCGGTGATACCCCAGATAGCTATGCCATGGAGCCCATTCGTATAATGAAAGACTTTGGCTCCATGGCAATTGAACTGTATGTGTGTGCTCTGAGTGCCATTCAGTAATAATGTGCGCTCAGATCTGAGCTATCTGGGGATATGTTGAATGTACCTGTTTTGTGCAATGGCTGCACAGTTATATATTTTTGTGTTTTATTGTCTTTTGCTGCCATGTGTTCAATGGAGTTTTGCCTCTGTCTTTGGAGATAATTGGATTACTTCTCAAGTATCTCCAGGATAGAAGACTTTGTGGAACTGGTTTTGGGCAGAAAAGCCATGCTTCCTTTGGTCACAAAGGACTACAATTTATCTTTTGAACCACTGGAACAATTTGGATGATTTTGACATATGTTTGTATTTGGAGTATGCTGATTCTGAAAATGTATGTGAATGTGATGCATACTTTTCAAGTTATGAATAATGTGGAAAAAATGTATTTCTCTGCTTGTGATAATTACATTACCCATTGGGTAAGGTAATTGTATCACAGGCAGAGGGGAGGATTTTGTGTGGGAGTGTCTGAGTGTATTGTATGTGTTTATTGGTTTTGTTCCAAAACCCTGTGGGTGGTACTAAGGTGTATATAAGAACAATAAACCCACAGCTCTGTCTGTTCAATGCTTGACCCTCAACACGGAGCTTTGTCTCGTTCTTGGGGGGATTTACTGTATGCTGTTCCAGTTTGACTGCTAGGAGTGTAAACCTATTCGTATGGTTTTTCCAATTCGGCTGTTTACAGCATTCGTATGGTTCCGGTTCGGCTGTTTACAGCATTCATATGCTTCTCCGTTTTGGTGTCTGTGACGGAACGCTGGCACTCCGACTGAGTACCTCCGCCAATCGATGCTCCTAGTGCTCGCTGAGGACTCCAAGCACTCCAACCGACACCATCAGCACTGCAGACCCCACTTCCAGCGATGCAACTGCGCCGGGGTCTCTGCTGTTTCCACCCACCCTGGACCCAAGGCCAGGATCCAGCTTCCAGTGGGTGAACCTCTCTTTCCCCAGAGAGCAGGAACAGGAACAAATCAAGCTATTGCAAGAGCTTCCTCTGGGGAGTAAGTGATTATAGCAATCCCCAGAGTGTAGGTATCCCTTCCCCCAAACATGAGCCAAGGCTTAATGCTGGAACAAGACTGATTTACTGGCACACAGAACTCACAATTTATGCAACACAAAACTCCTCCTCTGGGCCAGGCTAGATAATTGAGTTTCTACAATACACAAAGCTCAATTATCTGCTGGTCAGAAATAATAGTTTCATAAAACACACAGGGACCCCAAAACATGCAATAACCCCATAAAAAGTATATCCTTGGAACCGTGGGATCTGGGTGAACCACATATCCAAAATTCACCCAGATCCGTTCAGTACTTTGGAAAATACAGTTTAATGCAGATTCTGCAGAACATATACAGGCTAAATGAAAAACAATCACTTTATAATGTGTCCCCTGCTGTATAGTCCAAAACCACTGCACGATGTCTCTGTGCACCAAATACTGGCAAGATGGCACCGTGTTGAAAAGTCCAAACAGTGTCTGTGAGTTAAAATGGCCGCCATCCATTGTTCTCACCATGTGCTTCTGATACAGGAAATGGTGGCCACCCAGTAACTCCACAGTATGTCCCCAGATGGTTCTTAAAGGGCCAGCAGCAGCACAACACAAATCCATTATGCCCAAATCATGACTTTAAAGGGCAATACATCCCAGGGGCCATAGTCACAGGGCAAGAGGCGGGCAAGCAGTCCTCTCCAGGCACAAGTGGCGAAGGGCACTTCGTCACAGTGTCTACAGTAGCTGTGCCTGTGTCTCTGGAAGGGAAGATCTACTAAACGGCGGTTTAACCTTTTTTTTCTGCTGAAGGTGCCGTTACGCTGTTTGTTCACATTGAAATTTGCCAGATTGGTTATGTTGCCTTTGAGAGCTTATGTTAGCACAGGAATGAAAATTACCCCCATGATGGTATACCATTTGCAAAAGAAGACAACCCAAGGTATTGCAAATGGGGTATGCCCAGTCTTTTTTAGTAGCCATCACAAACAATGGCCAAAATTGTCGTTCATAATTGTTTTTTGCATTTTTTAACACACAAATATAAATGTTAACTTTGGCCAGTGTTTGTGACTAAGTGGCTACTAAAAAAAGACCGGACATACCCCATATTGAATACCCGGGGTTGTCTATTTCTCAAAAATATATGGCTTGATGGGGGTAAATTTCATTGGCCAGCTTCAAAAATATCCCAAATAGGACATGGGGGCATGATGACCAGCTGTGAAAACTGGAATGTGCACCCTCCAAATAAGGTATTTTAGCCTCCAGAGAACCCGACTCGCCTATACATGGGTGGTATCACTGTATTTAGGAGATGTTGCTGATTACATTTTGGGGTGGTTTTTGGCAGTAACCCTTAAAGTTCTCAGTACATGTATTTTTAAATTGCGATGTGTGTCAAAACAATCATCAATAATTTTTTTTTTATTTGGCATAGATTGGTGGTAAAATGGTTGCATGAAAAGTGTCAAAATACCCAAAGTTTAATACCTTTGGTTGTCTTCTTTTAAGAACTATAGACGTAAGAAGGGTTATTCAGGGATTCATGACAGATATCAGTGTTACAATGTAACTTAATTATGAAAAAAAATGGTTTGGAAATAGCAACAAAGCAAAGAACATGTTAACATTGGTCATTTCTAAACTCAGGACAAAATTTATAAACTATTTAGCACAGGTGTTTTGGGCAGTTGTAGATGTGTAACAGATTTTAGGGGTCAAAGCTGTGTTTTTTTTCCATAATTTATATTTTTTTCATAGTAAATTATATGATATGAAAATAATTGTATCTTTAGAAAGACCATCTAATGGCAAGAAAAATGGTATATAATATGTGTGGGTGCAGTAAATGAGTAATAGGAAAATTACAGCTGAACACAAACACTGCAGAAATGTAAAAAACGCTCTGGAAAATTGAAAAGCGGTCTGGTCACCAAGGGGTTAAGTCTCCTCAAGCTGCCTGTCTTCTCACGTTTAAGGAATTTTTATCTTTACTTTTCACATCACCTTTTTGAAGTGTCCAATGGAATTAGATGGGTGTACCTTATTATGATTGTTTTTATAAATTATAACCAGAAGATGTTGTCAATTCTCCATGAATATTTTCATTTCTAATTCCAATTACCACTTTAAGAGGTTAATTGAAATCCATGATGTAAATGATGTGGAAAACTGTTATCTTTAAAGCCACTCAGTCATACATGGCGGTCACACTAGATAGCTGTAAAGAGACTTGCATCCATCAAGTTCAGCCGTTCTCACGTAGGTTTTTGCTCTTGATTCAAAAGAAGGCAAAAAACCCAGTCTGAAAGCGCTTCCAATTTTGCAACGAACTAGGAAAAAATTCCTTCTTGATCCCAAAATGGCAGTCTGATATCTCCTTAGCAGCTATTACCCTACTAATTAGAAATTCTATCCCTGTATGTTATGTTTTTGCAAGTTTTTATCCAATTACTGTTTAACCCCTTAAGGACCAAACTTCTGGAATAAAAGGGAATCATGACATGTCACACGTCATCTGTCCTAAAGGGGTTAAACATCTGTATGGATTCTGATACAACCACTTTTTCAGGCAAGAATTCCACATCCTTTTAGTTCTTACTGTAAAAATGATTTTCTTTGCCTTAGATTAAATCTCCTTTCTTCAAGCCTAAATGTGTGACCTCGTGTCCTATGTATAGCCCTGTTTATGAATAGATTTCCAGATAATGTTTTGTACTGGCCCCGAATATATTTGTATAATGTTATCATATCCCCCCTGGGGCACCGTTTTTCCAAACTACAGAGATTAAAACTTTTTAACCTTTCTTCATAACTAAAATGTTCCATTCATTTTATCAATTTTGTAGCCCGTCTCTGCACTTTTTCTAGTGCCATGATATCCTTTTTTAGAACAGGTGCCCAAAATCGCATAGCATATTCAAGGTGTGGTCTTAACAGTGATTTATAAAGAGGCAAAATTATATTTTCATCCCGAGAATTTATGCCTCTTATTTATATATGACAAAACCTTACTGGCCTTAGCAACTGCCGATTGACATTGCATGTTGCTGCCTAATTTGTTATCTATAACAATTCCAAATCCTTCACGTGTTATCCATAATTCACTACCATTTAGGGTGTAAGTTGTCAGTGCATTCTTGACCTCGAAGTGCATAACTTTGCATTTCATCTGCCATTTTAGTGCCCAGTCCCCCAATCTATCTAAATCCCTCTGTAGCATAGCAATATCCTGCTTACATTTTATTACTTTACAATGTTTTTTGTCACCTGCAAACACTAAAACATGGCTTTCAATCCCTATTTCAAGATCATTTATGAATGTTAAATAGAAGCGCCTTCAAAACAGAACCATGAGGGACACCACTTATCACTCTTTTACAGTTTGAAAATTAACCATTAATGACAACTTGCTGTACTCTATCCTTAAGCCAATGTTCTACACATGAAGAAGAATATTAATCTAGACCAATTTCTTTTAGTTTGAACACTAACCTATTGTGAGAAATGCCTTTGCAAAATCTAAGCAGATGACATCCACTGCAACAGCCTGATCTATACTTTTTACTTCTTTGTAGAATTCAGTTAGGTTAGTTTGACATGACCTATGTTTCACACAACCATCCTGATAATTGCTAATAACGTTCTTCCCGAATTAATTCCTGAATATAATCCCTTTATAGCCCTTCTAATACTTTCCCAGTCACAGAAGCTCACAACTATATAATTTCCAGGCAATGATTTTTAACCTTTTTTTAAATATAGGAATGACATCTGCCTTCCTGCAATCCTCTGGTACAGTTCCTGAAAGAAATTAATCTTGAAAGATTAAATACAGAGGTTCACGTATTTCCACACTTAGCTCCTTAAGTAATCATGGGTGAATACAGTCAGGCCCCGGAGCTTTATTTACATAAATTTTCTTTAACCCCTTAGCGACCGAGGACGGTTCAGGACCGTCATCGGCATTTTTGCCTTGAGGACTGATGACGGTCCTGAACCGGCCTAACGGTCTGGGGGTACTTACCTGATCGCCGTCGTTCCCCCGGCGGCGATCAGTGTTGCTCCGGTTGTGGGGAGACTGCCTGCAGCCCAGACAGTCTCCCCACACTGATTTAGGACCCCTGTGGCCATGTGATCGCTTAACACAGCGATCACATGGTCACAATAGGTGTCCATAGTGCTGCCTGCAGGGGGACTGTCTGTGCTGACAGGCAGTCTCCCTGCTAGTGTAAAATCCAAAAAAAAAATAGTTAATGGTAATAAAAAAAATAATAATTATATATGTGTATATAT